ACACTATTGTGTGTGGTCCGGGCTTTGATAGAAGATTTTTGTGAACTGTTGAGTAGTAACACGAATTCTTTAAAATAAATTGGTCCAACGATACGTGCATAAAATTTATTTACGTCAAATCGTTTATTTAAAGTATCACAAAATTTAACTTTGGCAAACTAAACAAAAGTAAAAGTTTCGTTGACATTAAACAAACAAATGGTAAATCAATCTTGTTTTTTTTTACATCAGAACCCTTAATACCCAAAATAAGTCAAAACTTAAGATCAAAAGGTCAAATTAAAATTTGTAGAATATAATTGAACCTTCATAATTCCAACAAAATATTGTATTCTAAATTTAGTGACTGGGTCAGAATGGTGATGCTTTATTTAATGTGAAATCGCATATCGGATGATTCTACGCATAGCAAAGTCCTCGATATTTTGAAAATATTTAATATTCTCAGTATTCATACCTGTGGTATTTTTTATTTAATCGTTATGAAAATATGAAACCATAATGAAACTGTAGGTACTTACCACTTGCTATAATAACACCAAGATTTATAGTAGAAAAAACGGAGATTGAAATTACTTGCGACTTGATACACACGTCAAATAACAACGGTGGCAATACGAAGACTTTGATAACGCATCTATGCCTGTCCCTGTCCGCGCTTTTTGCGGCGAAGGCAGGCGACGCGATGATCTCACCCGCCAAGGTTTCGTTTAAACATTTCGTAAAGTGATGATGTCATACAGCCGCTGCCGCACACCGGCGACTCGACCACGCGGCGGACGATGATGTCACCCAGCCGACGAGTTTCAACTCGCAAAAACTCGTCGGCTGGGTGACGCCGCTCCTTTTGCGCCTATGGCCCAGAGGCACATGTGACAAAACGTTAGTTCATAAAGATGTCGGACGAGGTTGCTCTGGCACAAAATGCTCGACCGTGTGAGGGCACAATTTTCGGAAAAATATTGAGAAAAGAAATCCCTTGCAACTTTATATACGAAGACGACCTCGTGGGTATACCCTAAAATGTTCAAACCTCGTCCAACTGACTTGTTTTCAGTATGTGGCTTTCGACGATGTAAATCCTCAACACTATTTGGTTATTCCTCGGAAACCAATACCTCAGTTATCCAAAGCCACCGACGAATACGAACTGCTATTAGGTCATTTGCTAATTGTAGCAAGAAAAATAGCTGCAACGAGGAAGTTGGATCAAGGGTTTCGAATTGTTATTAATGATGGGCCTGTGGGCGCTCAGTCTGTTTATCACGTTCACATACACTTTTTGTTCGGGAGGCAGATGCGTTGGCCTCCGGGTTAATAATTTTGTTGAGCTGTTTTACTCAATAAGTGTGTTATTAAAGTAATTTTTTGCTGCTGTATGTACCTCCTTTACAACTTATATAGCTTAAAGTCTAATTTAAAAAAAAATACTTCGCTATTATTAAATTATATATTTGGTTAAACATAAATTAAATATTTGAACACATAATTAATACTATCAAGTGAAAAACAGTGAAGGAGAATAATAAAATCAAAAACTGTTTTTCTAGTACAAAAACACCCAAATTTAGGAAGCATTTACCAAAAAAAAAAAATCACTATATTTAGTTCCAGTAGATCCAAATCCACCTTCACCTCTGACAGTGTCCCCTAATTCCTAAAATAATGAAAAGCAACTAATGCCAAACTTGGGAAAAATCATTTACTCACCTGTACTTCCTCCAAGTCAGGATAGTAAATTTTTTCGCATATGAGTTGGGCAATTCTATCCCCACTTTTAATATCGAAATCTGAATCGGAGTGGTTAAATAAAACTACCTTTAAAACGCCCCTATAATCCTCATCTACGACGCCGGCTAAAAAATGCTCGTTTTACTCGTCGCGTCTTCAGAAACAAATTCTAAGTATATACCTCCAACGGCAATAAAATTCTTCACAGCTAATCCAGATCTGGGTGCGATTCTTCCATAACAGCCTTCCGGTAATTCGATTTTAAGGCCCGTGTCGACCAGAGCTTTGTCTCGTGCCGGTACCACACAATCCAGAGCACTTTTTAAGTCATATCCTGCCGCCTTTATTGATCCTTTGCTTGGAGGATACGCTTCTGGAATCGCTTTGGTGTATTTGATCACGAGAGACTTATCGTTAGCAGAAGGCATTTCTGTTAACTTTTACAAAATTTATTTAACACCTTCGAAACAACGCGTAAAAATGAGACGTTTCTGACCCAGCTTTTTTTATTGTGGACCAAATGGGTGCCAAATTTACACGAAGGGAGGGGATGGAAAACGCGCCAAACGGACGAAACCGTTACAACGGAATTTCGCATTTTTATATTTCTATTTTACAAAGATTTCTAGATTTTAATTGAAGCAATACTTGATTACATTCTTGATTTTTATTACCCCTCACAGCTATCACGTACCATCAGTACATTAAACTGAAAAAAAAAATTATATTAACACGCCACCGCATCACGAAACTTCAATAGCGGCTCCTTCCAATGCGCACGCTCTTCCGAATCGTTATTGGTCCTTTCAATCTCGTGATAAGGCTGTCCTAGGAATCACGTGACAATATTTCAGAACAAAATAACTACGTCTCGTTGGACAAAAATGGCGATTTCGAATTCCGGCAAAAATTGCATCCATATGCGTGGTGGCAGGCCGATTTGGCCCAGCTCGACCGATATGCGAAACAAAATAAAAACTTTAAATTTATATTGGTTGTTATCGATTGTTTTTTTTTTTCAAAATACGTGTGGTGCGAACCGTTAAAAAGAAAAACGGGTAGTGATGTGACCAAGGCCTTCGCCAAAATTCTAAAAGAGGCACGGGATCGACACCCAAAAAACCTGCAAACGGATCTGGGCAAGGAATTTTATAATGGCAATTTTGAGAAGCTCATGGTCAAGCACGAAATTAATCATTATAGTACGTACAGTAAGAAAAAGGCTGCGATGGTCGAACGGGTAATAAGGAGACTCAAAGAAAAATTGCATTGCGTACCGCTGGACAGACGTGCTGCCCTCTGTCGTTCAACAATACAAGAAACACAGAACGACGGGAATGAAACCTAATGCGGTGAATAAAAGTAACGCCGATTCACTTTTGAAGAGCGCTTTCAGTCACCTGAAAATATTCGGAGCTAGGAAATTGAAAGTGGGTGACGTGGTTAGAATTAGTAAAGCCAAACACGTGTTTAACAAAGGATACACGCCGAATTGGACCACCAAACTATTGTGGTCAAAGTGCAGATCACGAACCCGGTGACGTATCTTCTCGAAGGTATGAACGGTAAACCTATAATGGGAGGATTTTACGAAGAATAATTGCAAAAAACGGCCAATCCTGACGTCTATCTCGTTGAAAAGGTTCTGCGCAGGCGCGATAAACAAGTTTTGGTACGCTGGTTGGGATTGGACAAGTCGCACGATTCGTGGATTGACGACGCGAATGTATTATAAGTCTCAGTGTCGATGTAACAGTCGTGTCGGGCTCGCATCATGGAGCAGCAGCAAATATCGCTCCCCCCCGAAGAGTTGTACGAATTTTTAACGAGCTAGGACATACATTATACGCCGCCGATGCCACCACCACCATCATCACCGCCACCACCACCGTCATCACCGCCGCCGCCGCCGCCACCACCACCACCGGAAGTGCAACAACAACAAGTAAGAAAACCGTCAAAACGGCGTCGTAGTGCGACGACACCCCCAAAGCCTCACAAAAAAAAAGAAAAAGCGAAGAAACGGTTCAGCAGCAGCAGCAGCAGCATACCGGCTCATCCTCCTCCTCCTCCGGTTGGTTCGATACGTTTATCGACGACGAAGAAAGAAGGGTGGTTTTAGAGTCGCAGCTGGTGCGAAACGAGGACCGGATCAAAGAGACTGAAACTAAAATTGCCCTGCTGCAGAGCGAGTTACAAGTGGCGCGGCTTCATTCCGACGAATGCAGAAAAAAACTTAAACATTTTGCAAGTTTAGCGTCCTCTCTGCCCGCATCAATCCCATAGTTTTTTTTTTAATTTTTTAATTTTAAAAATATTATCGATGTTGATGTAAATAAAAAAAATCTTTATTGTTTTTTTTATTTAGACACACATACACTGCTCCAAACAACAACAGCAACTAGAACAAAACCTGTTGAATCGGAAGTGAAAAAAAATACATATACATTTTACATTAGAATAAAAAAAAGACTAACATAAGCCTAATTTTTACAAATATTTTTTATTATTAGGTCGCAATGAATATGTGTGTTTCTATTACTCTTGAGGCATGTTGAGGATTTGTGATGTCATTAATAGTTGAGAGATTATTCAATTCAATTCAATGATGCGTTTCACAGAAAACTGTTGGGCACGACTACCAGGATCATTCGCCCTTTGCCGACTTCCGTCGAGGATTCTCGGATCTTCTCCGGGAAGGAGACAGAATTTTGAAGTTCTAAATGTCGAGGATTTTCGTATCTTCTCTGGTGAAGAAGACTGATTTTTGAAGTTCCAAATGTCGAGGATTGTCAGATCTTCTCCAGCGAAGGAGACTAAACTTTAAAGTTCCAAATGTCGAGGATTTTCGGATCTTCTCCAGCGAAGGAGACTAATCTCAGAAGTTCTAAATGTCTTGAGTTTTCGGATCTTCTCCAGCGAAGGAGTTCTTTTGAAATTCTAACTAATATACATGATGATTAAAACCAACCCATAGACCATGAGCTAGCAAATCCAAAAGCGGTTATAAGCAGATACCACATGCATCAAGGAATCTAACCACAAGTCGTGCAACAAAATCCATACATCCAGGGTGAAAAAGTGCAGAAAAGGCACTAATAGGAGTGGGTAAGCTGGCATCAATGAGGGACTCATACAAAATTTGGGAGTTATTCCGATGCAGAGCACAATCAAACAAAATATGTTCAATATATCCCACCCCTCCACAAGCACACAGGTTAGATATTTTGACGTTTATCTTGTAAAGATGTGCTGGGGAACTACAATGATTACTCTTCATTCTGCACACTGTTGTAATCTCCTTTCTGGAACCATGGAACTGTTGGAGGTGTCTTATAAACTGCACTATAAAGTCTGCCCTTTGAACGGCCCCACTCTCTCCACTTGATGGCCCAGATGTGCCACATCTTTGCTCTAATTATCGGGATAAATTCACTAAAAGGGGGCCTTAAATTCAGCGAGTCTAAAAGTCTAGCTTCTGAGGCTATTCTATCCACCGTTTCATTATGTCTTATCCCCGAATGGCTTGGAATCCAGCATAACGATATTTTCCCCTCAAGTCTGCGCTTCAAAATATCAATCTTTGCTTTAATATCTAGTAGAATGTAGCTGTTGGAAGCTTCAACCGCACTGCATCCGAAGCTCTGCAGGGCACTTTTGGAATCGGAGACAATTACTGCCTGTTTAATATTATAATCTAATATAAGATCTAGGGCGTAACTAATAGCTACCATTTCTGCAGAGCAAATACAAAACGCGCTATTCAACCCATGCCCGACCCTAACATTGAGAGACGGAATAAATACTTCAAAGTCAACTCTATCATCTGGTCCCTTAGAGGCATCGGTAAATATAAATGTCTCTTCCCCGGTCCACATTTTAGAACAAAATTCCCGAAACTCAGTTTCATTTAGACCCACCCCTTTCTCAATTTTGGAATCAACAAAATTAATAGGCGTAAGCTTAGGGGCCAGGTCCTTATTAAAACACGCTAGAACGTCTCCACTATCGATAATATTATGATATGTGGCGGTGTAGTCAAATGCCCCAACTAAGGGTAAATTCGCCTTCCTTCTAAAAAAGTTATGATTTTCTTGATAGGCAATATATAACCGTTGGGTAGCTAAGAAACTAGGATTATTTCTGATTCTAAGGGACTTGACCAAAAACTTAGAAGCCAACATAATCCTCCTCACCTCCAAACTGGTTTCACAAGCCTCTCCCAATAAAATATTAATTGGAGTTGATTTCATCATACCCAATGTCACTCTTAAAGCCTGATATTGAATCCTATCCAGACCAGACAGGGTTTTTTTCCCACAGCACCCCAGTACCATAGAACCATAATCAAGATGGGAACGCACAAAAGCTTTATAAAATATCAGAAGAGTAGACGGATGGGCTCCCCACCATGTCCTGGATAGAAATCTCATAATATTAATTCCACTAGCTGCCTTGTGAATCATTCTGCCAACCTGTGGAACCCACGTAAGCTTAGCATCAAATGTAACTCCCAGGTACCTAATTTCATTTTTCCAGGGAATATTTACACTATTAACTACCAAGTCGGGAAGTCCAACCAAAGCAGATCTAGAGAATAAAATAGCAGACGACTTTTGCGGACTAAGCTGCAAGTTAAACCTATGCATCCAATCAGCCACTGCCACCAAGGCTTTATTCATCAAGCCTATAGCAAAGAGGACATTGACATCGCTACATAGAAGAACAATATCATCCGCATACTGGAAAATAGAAACCCTATGAGGAATTACTAACTTAATTGAATTTACGTATATATTGAATAAAAGAGGCGCTAAGGGAGATCCCTGAGGGACCCCCTTACTGGTTGATCTAGGTCCGACCAAAAGGTGCCCAACAGCATCCTTAACAAATAGGTTCCTGTTGAGGAGAAGTCGATTGATTAACCCTATAGCATCCCTAGGTATACCCTGCTTATCCATCTCTTTTATTAGCATGGGGATGTTAACATTATCATAGGCACCCACAATATCCAATGCAACCATAACAGTAGGAACACTTTTGCTCTGAGCACACAAAATATGACTTGTTATGATGGAAGCATTATCCATAACGGACTTACCGCGCCTAAAGCCGGTTTGAGATTGTGATAACAATCTGTGATGTTCAAGAAACCACTCTACTCGGCACTTTAATATTGACTCCAGCACTTTACCGAATGTAGATGACAAATTAATCGGCCTATAAGAACTAAGAAGATTAGGATCCCTAAACGGCTTTAATATTGGAACAACCAGCTGCGTCTTCCAACTATCAGGTATACAGCACTCATTTCTCAATAATTTGTTGTAAAAATTCACTAAGAACACGGCTCCCTCTATTGGTAGATGCTTTATTAACTCAAAAGAAACTCTATCCAAGCCGGGGCATGTGTTTTTACGACTTCTAACTACAGCGATAAACTCATCAAGAGTAAACAAGGGAGAAACTGCAGTGTTGTTATCCCCCTCTAAACTTGTCTCCTCTACGACAACATCGGCATGACCCACTAAGGAGTCCAACAATTCCGCCGGTACTGAAAAGTTAAGTGGGAGGTGACAATTAGCCCGGTTAATAGCCTTTGAAAATCTTTTCACACATTTCCATACATACCTAGCACTCTTATTGGGAGATAAACTCTGGCAAAATTTTTTAAATCCCGCCCTTTTCTTTTCCCTAAGAAATTTTCTACAGCTGGCCCGAGTTCTTTTTACATTAACATAATTCTCTAGAGTAGGGGAAATTTTATAATTTCTAAAAGCCTCTCTCTTTTTAGCGATCATTAACGAGCACTCGTGATCCCACCAAGGAAGTCCACATTTACGCCCGCTCTTATGAAGGGGTATGGAAGCATCAGCCGCATCCATGACTACCTTGTAGAACTGGTCGTATGACGTAATAAGGGGGTTGCTTAAACCAATACTCATCGATTCAGAGAATTTGTCCCACTCTGCCTTAGAAACATTGTGCTTCAGGAGATACGCTTGAGCAGGATGATGTAAACTGTCCGGTTTACACCAAATATGACACAGTATTGGGAAATGATCGCTAAACCCTCTGTCGAATAACACCCGGAAATCGGCAACATGAGCCAATTCGTGTGAACAAAATACCAAATCGGGGACAGAACGGAAGTCATTCCCTGTAAATCGGGTGGCAGACCCGTCATTAAGAATAAAGAAGTTGTTATCATGTTATCATAGAGCCGTTAGCCAGACCGACATAGCTTTTAATTGTAGAGCCCCACTCTTCATTATGAGAATTTACATCACCAGCAAAAAAAACGGGTTTTGACCTAAGTCTATCAACCAAAGTATCTAAGAACAAACGAGACATAGGAAGGTCAGGAGGATTATACATCTAAACTAGAAAGAGGCTGTCCATCTCCAACACTATAACCTGACATCTATCCGGCCTGGGGATATCTGACACATCTAAAACATTATACCCGATGTTGGAGCGTAAAAAAACAATAATCCCTCCATACCCATCCATACGATCGTCCCTGACAAAGGATAAACCAGACAAGGAAAACTTGATATGTGGGAGTAAAAAAGATTCATTAATCATGACTATATCCGGACCAAAGTCACGAATAAGTCTAATAATACTATCACGATTACTTCTAATACCGCAAGTGTTCCAGTGAATAATTGAGAAATTACTAATTTTAACAGAAAGATTTGACTGTCGATCTGGGAACATTAGTAAATTAAAACCTGCATCCTCCGGGAGGAGGCAGGGAGTCAAAAAGACTCTCAATTTCATGGTAAGCACTTTTACTGGGTATATTGGACAAAACTTTTTTCTTTAAATTTTCAAACCGATACCAAAATTCACCAGAGGAAGAAACCCCTGGAGAAGCAGTGTCCATCTCGGACTCTGACGAGAAGTCATTTAAATATGAGGGAGAAGATTGACTTTTGCCAGTGTGATTCAACTTCTGCCTAGTCAAAGGCGGCACGAGACGGGGGCAACCGTGTTATGAATAGGAGGGAAATTTTCATTAGAGCGATTAAACTCACTTGATTTGGGGCCTCTTGGAAAGAGTTTGGCCGCTTCAAAAAAGGATAGGTTGTACCATGCCATAGCCTCATTGATTTTCTTCTGTCTGTCCATTTCCGGACATGATCTATCAGTGGCCTGATGAGAGCCTTTACAGTGGATGCAAGTTGGCTTTGGAGATATTTCGCAATTACCCAGGCTGCATTTACCTTCATGATTTAAGTGGTCTGTCGGGCATGGTTTCTTCTTATAAAACTGTTCTTTCAGTTCACAATGAAATACTGGATGATCTCCAGCGCAGAAACTACATCTACCCTTGCTTTTGCATTGGTTTTTCCAATGACCAAACCTGCAACAATTCATACATAAGACAACAGGACTAACATATTTTTCGATTGAACACTCATTTTTATAGATACAGATTGATTCTGGAAGAGTTTTACCCTCAAATGTTATTATATAATCATTAGATGGAACTGTCTTGAAACCAAAAGTGCCAGGCAGAACACCTGGGCATTTGACCCTTTTAGTTAGTCTGCGAACATTAACAATCTTAACGCGCTTTAGCGATCTTCCGATGTTAACCTTGGCTTCTGCCTCAGAGTAAAAATCATCCTCATCAATTAAGTCACCAATGTCCCTCACCAACCCTCAGCAAGTGACTAGTCTTTGAGGTATATACTTATTATACCCACCAGCTGTCGAATATGTTTCATTAGATAAAAATTTATTTGCAGACTCAGAGGTGTTAAACTCCAAACCGATTTTATTGGCTCCTTTTCTAGAAATTTTCAATATACCTTGAACTTTCTGCGCTTGAAGTAACTTCCCAAAGTTCATAGGATGAAGAGTCCCCACCTTACTTGTAATCCCCTCCAGAATCACCATAAAAGGTGATTTCATATTTTGTTTTCCGATTTACTGTCCTTCTTATGTTTGCGGAGATTTTGGCAACTTCCCGCAGGATTTCAGCGTCTTGCTCGAACTGATTCTTGATAATCTGGATCTCTGCCGATAACTTTGACAACTCTTCACCTGAGGGCACATCAAAATACTGGAGCCTAGAAATATCTTCAGCAGTTTTTTGGCAATCCGGTGGCAAAATATTACAAATAATTGCGTTCAACGGACGATTTTGAGAATCATTGGATAAACTGTCATTTTTTTGTGCAGCATTAACCGTCGGGGGAACCTCGCCCCCCGAAGAGTCCCCCATGGTTAAGGTTAGAGGGCCAAGAGGAGGAAACTACCAGCCACAGAAACTGATATATAACTGGATGCGTTAAATGGACTCACCAAATAACAGAAAACAATTAAAATTAGGGCCGATGCCTAAAGATTTGCACAACAATACTCAGGTAGTCTTCACTCCTTCGCTGTTGTACCGAAAAAAAAAACTGAGAGATTATTCAATGCATTCTTATAACCTTAGAATACTTTTTTCGGTCAACCAGGTGAAGTGGTGTGCACAATTTTACCTCGGTCCGAGAAAATTTTCATTTTTTTGACGTAATTCTAGTCTTCAACTGAATTTTTCGGTCTGGGTGAGTTTTATATTTAGTCAGCCGTAAATATTTGCTTTGGTTTGGTGTCGCAGTTCGTAATAATTTAGCGCTTTTCATATCATGACATGTGCTTCGGGGAGTAAAGACCCCCCTGATAGAAACGATCGTATCGTAGTTAATAATCCGATAGTGTTAGCAAATGATTTTGATTCCTTTCAAGCTCAACTAAACTTGTCCCAAGCTTCTACTTCTTCTAGCCGTGGTTATTCATCAGCCTTGACGCTTTCGCCTTTAGCTAAGAAAACAGCACATGCTATCGCTCAGCATCAATACTTCTTAGTACCCACTAAGGAGGAAATAGATTTATTGGAGACAGAGTTACAAAAGCTTAAATCTGTCTTCGTGGAAGATCAGGATACCCTAAACGAAATTGCAAGAATTTCAGTCAACATAAGGAGAACACTTAACCGAAAGTATAAGTATGAACTTACAGACCAGGGACCATTTCTTATCATAATGGAGGGAATAACTTCTCAAGTTGGAAACATTCACCCGATGAATATTGGAAAAATTTTGCACAGAGCTGGAGTACAAGGTATAACAAAAATCAATAGAAAAGGGGCTAATAAAATTGGAATTGAATTCAGAACATCAGAGTATGCTAATCAGTTTTTGTCAAATGAAAGTTTCAGTTCTGCTAGAGGCTATAATAGGTACATTCCACAACGTCTTGTCACTTGTAGAGGACTAATCAAGGATGTAGGGGACCAAATTACGGAAGAGGATTTTTACTCAGAAGCGGTAGCTTATACAGGAGAAGGATCCCGGGCCAGGTCGATTAAGATATTAAATGTAAAAAGAGTCTTAAGAAGGAAGAAAATACATGCTATTTCTGGCGAAACAGTAATGAAAACCATCCCCACAAACGATTATATTGTAACATTTGAAGGCAAATCATTACCCGAAACTGTAAATATTTTTAATAGTGAAAGAGAAGTGGAAAAATACGTTAACCCGGTTATAATGTGCGTCAATTGTTGCAGATTTGGACATGTCAAAAATAATTGTAGAGGCAAGCCTCGTTGCGGTTTTTGTACAGAAGATCATCTTATGTTTGTTTGTGAAAAAAGAGAGCAAGCAATGAAAAAAATGAAATGCCCTGCAGATCATCTTAACAATCTGAGTAAAACGTGTAAAATTCCAAATTGTGAAGTAAATCCAAAACCAAGCCGCGTAAATTGCAAGGGACACCACACTGCTACTGACTGGGGATGTCCCGAATACAAACGGCAAAAACAAATTAACGAAACCATGAGCTTCTACAACCTATCTTTTTATGGAGCAGCTAAACTGCATCCACGGCTAATTAATGCAAACCAAGGCTTTACCCGAAAACCAGAAGATTTTCCTAGTTTAAATAATAAAACTCCTCATCCAACAAGTCCTCAGGGCTGTTCCTCATATACATCAGTACTTAAAAGAAAACGGCCTGACACCCAATTTATCAAAGGGTATGATAAAGTAGCCCATGAACTAACTTTGTTACCCTCAAGTGCAAGAAGAAAAGTCTCATCTATACAAGTAGGTGAAAACTCGACATCAGAGTCGGAAATGGAAGTAACTCCTGTAGGAAATAGCTGGGAAGAAGTATGCAACAAGTTTGAAGCTTTCAAAAAAGACGTTATGTCAATAAAGGGTATGGATAAAAATTGTGTCAACAATATCAAACAATATTTTGGTTCATTTGACCTACGGTGGGGGGGCGGCTGCGATGGCAGCGGTTGACCTACAGGGGTTAGAAAAAGAAAAGGTAATCTTATCACTAGTTTTAATCTAACAGTAGTTTTTACGTAACAAAACTAAGTTTAAGTTTTAGTCACAAGCGTTTTATAGTTGAGCTATAATGAATATCGTTCATTGGAACATTTGCGGGGCTGAAAAAAATAAAGATGCTATCATTAGAGTTATAAGGGATTTTAAGCTACAGATCTTATTGCTCAATGAAACCTTGCTCAAACCCAACACTAACTTTAAAATATCAGGGTTCTCTTCTGTAAGAGCTGATAAACCTAATGGTGCAGATGGTATAGCAATTTTCTTGAAAACAAAATAAAATATAATATCATCGACTTAAGTAGAATTAATATACCAGAGAGGTGTAGAGCTTGTCGATTTTTTTATTTGTTGTGTTTACAACCCTCCAGATATTTGTTTGGTCAGAGCAAGCCTCGTTTCAATTTTCGATCTAACCCGCAATAAACCAGTCCTCTTTATGGGAGGCTTTAGTGCCCATAATCCAATATGGGGTTCCCAGGTCAGTTACTCACGGGGAATTAGAAGTGGGAACATTCTTTATGATTTCATTAAGGATCACGATTTGTGGGTACTAAATGATGGATCAGCTACTCGGCTCACACGCCCAGGCGTACACAGCGCTCCAGATATAGCTTTTTGCTCCCAGAGACTGTCTGGACTTACTGACTGCAGGGTTCTCCAGGATAGAGTGAATAGCGATCATTTTCCTATTTTGTGTATCATCGGAAATAACCGTTGCAACTCAGGTTCGACAAGAAACTACACTAGCAAATATAATTTCAACAAGGCAGACTGGGAGAAATTTTCCGATTTAATCTCCACGAAATTTAGAACTTCACCTCCTATAAATTATGAGGATTTTATGAATATAATTTTCCTATCTATTGCAGAATCTGTTCCAATGCATAAACACTCATTAAACTACGGGTTACCTTGGTGGCTTAATGAGTACACCAACGCTATTAAAAGGAAAAGACAAGCATTCAGAGATTATAAAAACAACCCCTCTGAGACCAACTTCCTGGAATCATTAAGAACCCGGGCACAAACAAGACAGCTGCTACGTAAGAAGAAAAAGGAAGGCTTTGTCAACTTTTGTGAGAATCTATCTCCAAATACTAGTGCAAAAGAAGTTTGGAGCAGTATTAGAAGGTTTGCTAAAGGTATCAGGTACCAAAATTATCATTTTCCCTTGAATTTCTCAATCCCACAAGATATGTTTGATCTTTTGACGCAACCTCCCTCTATGTTGCGTAACATCCCCGAATGTCGCTTCTCATCAGAATATACAGAAGACTTCCATAACTCAGAATTTGTCGCGGCTGTTAAAGGTCGGAAGAGCAAGAGTCCCGGTGTGGATAAAGTACCTTTCAGTGTGCTCAGCCATCTCCCTGTTGAAGGAGCAGTCTTTCTTATCAAATTTTTCAACAAAATACTTCGGAGGGAAACCACCATTCCAGAGACGTGGAAAACCCAAATGGTGATCGCAATTCCTAAACCGGGGAGAGACCCCTCAGCGTTATCGTCCTACAGGCCCATCAACCTAGCTTCTTGCATAAGCAAAACTTTTGAAATTATGATCAAAAACCGACTGGAATGGTTCGTAGAGAACCAAGGTTTAATAGACGTTCGCCAAACTGGTTTCAGAAAGGGTAAGGGAACTTTCGACAATCTTGCAGTTATCTCCTCAGAGGTCCTCTGCCGTTTGGCTCGCAATCAACTAGCAGCAATGGTGACTTTGGACATATCCAATGCCTACGATAATATAAATGTTGACTTATTGACCTCGGTGTTGGCCAAAATTGGAATCGCCAGAGATTTGACTTTGCTCATTAAAGATTTTCTCATGAACAGGAAGATACAAGTTAAAGATCCATCTACTAATACATTCGTGTCAGGCAGAACCGCCAGCAAGGGAGTTCCCCAAGGTTCCCCTCTTTCTCCATTACTATTTAATATTTACATCAATTCAATTAAAGAAACAATTCCTGAGAACATAAGACTTTTACAGTTCGCGGACGATACCGCCTTGCTGAGTACTGGGACTGATGCCCAAACAATAGTGAACAATTTGAATAGAACTTTGCAAAATATACATATTTGGTCTTTGAATGTAGGACTTGAGATTAACCCCAATAAATCTGCAGCTATATTTTTTTCCAGGAAGAATTACAAGGTTAATTATCTCCCCAGACTTCACCTCAACACTCGAACCATTGCATGGACAAATTCCATCACATATCTAGGAGTGATTTTTGATCCAAAACTGTCATGAGAGCCACAAATTAGAAATATGATACAGAAAGCTTCAGGTGGGTTGAATATGATGTGATTTATAAGTAGAATCTGGTGGGGGGCACATCCCTCTACCCTTCTAACTTTTTACAAAGCTTATGTTAGACCCCATTTGGATTATGGAGCCTCTTTTTTGGGTGGTAGCTCAAGAAAGTCTATTGCTCAACTTAACAAAATTCAATTTGGGGCATTGGGATATATGAAGTCCACACCTACTAACATACTTCTAGGGGAAGCAAGTGAAATGGATTTAGAACACAGAAGATACATGCTAGCGACTAAATCATTATTGAAAGCTGCCAGTTTAGTGGATAGTGAAACCTTAGCTGCGGTTAGATGGTTATATATCACCTATAATGAAAACTATTACTTTTTTCGCAAAAAGAGTATTCCTGCACTTGTGGATGCTTTTGAAAGAGTTGATTCACTGTTAGATACACTTTACAGGAGCCCAGTTTATCCATGTTTCTCTTGTCCACTGCCGAACCTTTTAAGCTCTGTTCAAATCCTAGACTTAAAACTAAAGAAAGATAATAATAACTCCAAATTATTTGAAATTAAGAAGAGCGAGACTTGGACATTTAATTTTTACAGACGCCTCAAAAGATAGAGAAGGCCGAGTAGGTTTTGGCGTTTACAACTACAATACGAACCTTAAAATGGGACAAGGCCTACCAAGTGAACTATCCATTTGCTCTGCCGAGATTTATGCTATTGGTCAAGCTCTTGATTGGATTGAATTCAAGGACATCAACAAAGCAGTCATCCTTTCAGACTCCAAAAGTGCCCTCGAAGATATCAATAAAACTGGGATGGATGCAAAGTCTAACTACCTAACCTTGCAGGTTAAGAATAATAAAAACGCAAAATAAGGACATCCAATTATGCTGGATACCAAGCCATACCAGTATAAAAGAAAACGATATTGCGGACCAGATCCAGAATTCTTCCCTAAATTAAAGCATAACATCTGGAATGCTTGGAGCGACAGATGGAAACATATAGGATTAGGGAAAGGAGTTAATTTCACCTCACATTATTCTACTCCGCCAACTAAACCCTGGTTTCATAAGCTCGACCTGAATAGAAGAGAAATCACAACTATGTGTAGACTGAGAAGCAACCATTGCTGTTCTCCGGCTCACCTAAATAGAATCAAAGTCAAACTCTCCGGAAACTGTGAATGTGGAGAACTGGGCGATTTAAGTCATGTGCTGTTTGATTGTGCTTTTCATTGGGAAAAATCACAGCAGTTGTATGAGTCACTCATTAGTGCTAATTTTCCTTCGCCTCTGCATATTAATTCCATTTTATTTCACTGCACTCAGTTGGATTTTGCCTGGCCGGATTGCCTTAGCAGCAGTGGCCAAATAAAGCGTAAATAAAAAAAAAACCTTAGAATACATAAAGAATCTATAAGAGATACATCTATGGTAAAACGTCAATTTGCAAACACTAACCATAGAAAATTTTGGAAACGTTAAATTTCAGCAAAGATATCTTCTATTGTATAAAGAATATATCTCGAAGATTGTTTTTTAAATAGAAACTAATATATTCTATAATAAATGAAAGGTATGTAATTTTTAAACTTATTGTTTATATTACTGTTTCTAACCTCTATTTGTTTTTCAGTTATAGAAAGATTCCACAATTTACCCTAAAATGGAATTATATAGAATATGAACAAGATAAATTATAAAGTATATATTGATATTACACAACTTTTAAAAGTTTCATTGTCAAGAATCATTATAATTCGTTTAAAATGATTTTTATCGGATATGGATATTGGTATTGATATTGAAGGGAGGCGCTCGTGGGCGTCCAAGCATTTAGGAAACCAGACCGCTCTAGAGAACGTCCAAAATGCCACCCTTTCTATAGAAGGTTAGCAACTTCTTTAGTCTAGTAATACCATGCGCTGAATCCCGATCGATCAGGGTCGTTCCGAAGACTCCCAATCTTGCTCATGTTAAAGCAAAGCACTCGGTAAGCAGAAAATACGAGGCTTTCTCCCTTTTTATGCAATCGGATATGGGTAAAGATAATTTATAAATTTTGTCGACTGAAAATTACTGTTTCATTGAAAGAATTGTAGTTACTTTTATATTAAGGAAATATCAGGTGAATGATTAAATCATGTTTAAAAATATTTATCATTTTTAGATTGAATTTTTATGTTTAGTAGAGTTTTACAATTTTAAATTTCATTTACTGGAAAATTTCAATTATACATTTTTGCTGATGAAAATATTAATTATTGATTGCCATATTAAGATTATTATTTGACTGAAATTTAATTTACTGTTTCTAACCTCTTTGTTTTCAGTTATAGAAAGATTCCACAATTTACTCTAAAATGGAATTATATAGAATATGAACAAGATAAATTATAAAGTATATATTGATACTACACAACTTTTAAAAGTTTCATTGTCAAGAATCATTATAATTCGTTTAAAATTATTTTTATCGGATATGGATATTGGTATTGATATTGAAGGGGGGCGCGCTCGTGAAAATGTCACCCTTTCTATAGAAGGTTAGCAACTTCTTTAGGCTAGTAATACCATGCACTGAATCCCGATCGATCAGGGTCATTCCGAAGACTCCCAATCTTGCTCATGTTAAAGCAAAGCACTCGGTAAGCAGAAAATACGAGGCTTTCTCCCTTTTTATGCAATCGGATATGAGTAAAGATAATTTATAAAATTATGTCGACTGAAAATTACTGTTTCATTGAAAGAATTATAGTTACTTATATATCAAGGAAATATCAGGTGAATGATTAAATCATGTTTAAAAATATTTATCATTTTTAGATTGAATTTTTATGTTTAGTAGAGTTTTACAATTTTAAATTTCATTTACTGGAAAATTTCGATTATACATTTTTGCTGATGAAAATATTAATTATTGATTGCCATATTAAGATTATTATTTGTCTGAAATTTAATTGTTAGTAATTTATAATAATGAAAGAAAGAAAATTGAACATTGTTTTAATTTATCAATGAATATATAAGGATTACCATTGATTAGTTATTAAAGATACATTTTAAAATGAATTTCATAAAATAATAACTTTGAATATACTTTTGTTTTTCAGGTCTTTTAATTTATTGTTTTTTATTTTCAGTAAATATGAAACTCCAAAATTAATACAAACAAGGAACTATCATCATGAAAAATCGTTACATTTCAACTGAGATGGTTTGAATCAAAGATAAATAAATGTGTCTCATAAGGTTATATTAATTAAAAATTGTTATGTAATGTAATGAAATTTAGTTATTTTTGCTTTAAATCACCATCCAAATTATTAGAAATTATGATAGACCCAACTACAGTCAAATGATGGTAAGAAAACATACATGTCTATAAATTTCAAGATTCTAAAAATATCGTTGATGATCGCATAAAGAACGTATTACTGGAATTTATTTCATAAAGAAACATAAAAGGTATTTAATATAACAATCTTAATTTTTATGTGATAATAATTTCCATAATCCCTAATTTATTATTGTTTTGTCTCCGATGGTTGCAGGATTTAAGAATTTGTGGAAAAATAATTAATGCAATACAAAAACCAGATGTTTTATCATAAAGAATATTTTCATTTTGACTAAAATAGTTTTCATTAAATGTAAATGAAGATACAATATTTTTCTAATATTTGGTCGTATATAATCGTGTAATTTATGAAATTTTTAAAATATTATCGTTGATGACATAAATACACTTTACAGATAACAGGTATTTAATATAGAATCTTTAAATTTTATGTGATTTTATTTCTTATAACCTCTAATTTATTTTTATTTCATTTGTGATGATTATAGAATTTGAGAATTTGCGACAAATAATTGATACAATACATTATTTTATTAAATTGAATACATTATTTGGATAAAGAAATTTTAATTTAACAAGTAAGTCTTTAATATTTATTTTATAAAATATATCAAATTAAAATCAATAATTATTTTACATAGTATCCTATATTTTCAAGCTGAAAAACAAATATATGCAAAGCGTAAATCTACGCCATTTATCAAGCAATTTCGAAATTACAGATTCCTTTTTACTTCTTTAAGAAAATAATGTAAAAGATTACAAATTACTTTCAAATATATTTTCCAATAACAATATCTAAACATCATGATGAAATTAACAAAAATTGTAATGCCTTTGTACATAATTACTTCATTTATCCAATCAACAATAATAATACATAATCTTAATTCTAATATTAATAATGACAATTTTAAATTTATGACGTCATCAACAGTTGTAGGATTATTTGATGCGGTTTTACAATGCCCTTCCGTGTTTCAAACTATGGTAAACGCTAACACAGTTAAACGTAGAAAATGTCAAAATGGGTACATGTCGACGAATTTTTAAATTAAAGGTATTTAATATAACATTTTTAATTTTTATGCCATATTATTTTTCATAACCTCTAATTCATAATCGTTTTGTTTCCTATGGTTACAGGATTCAAAAAATTTGCAGAAAGAGAATTGATACAAGAACTAGATGTTTCACTACCCCCTAAAAAAAAAAGCTGACGTCCCAGGTAACAAATTAGACCATTGAAGGACCGCTTAGAAGAGGGTAGTTTAACAGCAAAAATTATCATCAATGAGTTATCAATAAAACGACTTCTGATAACTTCTAGAGAAATTATCATAAGAAATTTAAATAAAAACCATCATTGCCAATTTGGAAAAAAAATTATCCAAGTAAAATATTATTCGGATAAATGGATATAAACACAGGTAAAGTTTTATCATGTTCAAATTATAAGTCGTAATTGATATTTGGTATAAAATTAACGTTTCATATAATCTTTTAAAATTATTTACACAATTCAAGTTAGTTTTATTGTTTTTGTCAACATTTAAATGAATCATATATATGTGTAAGTATTTCAAATAGACGATTTCCAATTTATTTACTAAAATTGCATGATAAATTTAAAATATTTTATTTACTTTTTTGACGGTAAATTTTTTTCATGTTATAATCCTGCAGATAAAAAACAAACCATCATTAACAATTTCCCTATAAGGAATGCCTTCAATCAGTTATTGAACATGGACCAACTGATAATTTCATATTAGTGTTTTAATGTGTTTCATTTATTTATGTATTTTTTAAATTATTCAAGTTTTTTAAATTTTAATTTCCTAATATTTTTTTTTGAATGTAAAATTTTCCATTTATTTCTCTCAATGAAAATTTAAAAATTATTATATATTTCTAGGTGGACAATAAATCACTACCGACAACTTAGTTATGAAGAATATCATTCATCAATTATGAAAAAAAAAAGGAGACAATTTTATTAAATAAACGATCATTGAAGCTTTGTAAGTATTCGTCGAGTCATCCAAGAAAATACTTCATTTAGACATAAATTTCAATTTAACAAGTAAGTTTTTTATATTCGTTTTATGTAACATAATAAGTTTTTCGAGTTTAACACAAGAAATGTAAAACATAAGTCTACACAATCTGTCAAACAAATTCGGTATTGTTTACAGATTCTTTTTTATTTCTTTTAAGAAAATAAAGTGACGACAAGAAATGAAATAAAAGAAAACTATAAAGAATAAAATATCGTTTATTTAAAAAAAAATAATTCAAGTGAATATCACATGTGATATTAAAAATATTTATTACTACATAAATTACTTCCCTTCCTAAAGTATTATAATTAAGGAAAAAGTAAAAGAAACAATAATAATGCGGATAAGTACAGATTATTTTTAAATATAATTTTTCGATATATTTTTGCATAATGATGTTTAGACATCTTAACGAAATTACCAAAAAACTACAATAATTTTCTAATATTTCATCGCATGTAATTGCCTAATAATATCATACATAATATCACATAATTGCCTAATTCGTGAAATTACCAATATGACATATTTTAATTCTAACGTGAAATTTGTGACGTCATTGACAGTTGCGACGTTATCCAATACGGTTCTGCAGTGCCCATCCGAATTTGAATCTATGGTAGATACAACCACATTCGAACACGAAGAAGAGACGTAGAAGACACCGAGATGATTCTGTGGTGGAGCATTGCACGCGGCGGTTTAACCTCCGTTCGCTCCTTGTTCACTTGACGAAAAGCGAAAATTAAATTTTGAGCGTCCTCAATAGTTCGCGTAAAATTCATTGCGAAAGCCTACCTGTTTCTTGTTGGCCGATGTACCAGGCTACCTGGCCTTGCATTGCTTCCAGTTTTTCTTTTATATCATCACCATTTATAAAACAGGTGAATACGCGTTTTTTGGTTGTCATTTTAGTAGTAATGCCGGGTGTCGTATCTCACAAGATGCACTGTAGGATGGGTACACTTTGGACACACGTCAAGGATTTTTACTATGCTTATCCAATACGGTTGTAGCTTATATTTGTATTTGCGCGCGTAATTACACTTTGAACACACGATTTTTTTGGAGTAGACGAAATAATTTCTCGGCGGTGTGACGTTCATTATTAAACTGAAATGTTATTGTGTGTTCCGGATGTTTTATTAATAGCATTATCAACGGATATTCTTATCTATTTCCTGTCCCCCACGCCTTCGGCACGTACGCCTCCCTGCCGGTGACGTTTGCGTCACTTGGTTGGCACCACTGACAACGGTTTGGTTGGCACCACGGATGACGATTGGCACCACGCACCACGGTTAGGTTGGCACCACGGACCACGGTTTGGTTAGGTTGGCAACGGGACGGAACCGACGGAACATAATTAGCTCGGCATTAAAGTGACCGTTCAACGACGGACGGGTGCAGCCCCCCCGAGATGGCGGGGGGGGGGGTTGCTACGGCCCCCCCCCCCGCGCGGGTGGGGCCACCGAACGGCACCACTGACAACGGTTTGGTTGGCACCACTGACAACGGTTTGGTTGGCACCACGGACAACGGTTTGGTTAGGTTGGAACCACGGACGACTGTTAGGTTAGGGCGAGTGGCCAATGGGCGAGTGACCTTGAACCAATGGGCGAGCGGCCAGAACACAAAAAGAAGACCTATGGGCGAGTAGCCAAAAAGAAGAAGACCCATGGCCGAATGGTCCATAGGCGAGTGGTCAAAAAAGAAGAAGACCCATGGCCGAGTGGCCTGTGGGCGGCGGACCCGTGGCCGGGAAGCCAAAAAGTGAGATTATGTGGGCCTGGATGTCCCTTTATTCATCTACTAATATCTCACGGACCCTGTATAGTAGACGAAAGCTCTAAATCCGAAAATTGTAGCTCTCTATCCAATTCGTAATACGTTTTAAACCAAATCTACCTTTTACAGTTTCTCATTTACAGCTAATATTTTATACACGAAAACGGCAATTTTCACGGTACTTTAAATGTTTTGCCCATAATCGAGACACCCTGTACATAATCGGAAAAATTACGGAAATGGAGATTAAAACCCTGAATTTCCCACGTTCCGTGGTAGATGACGTTTGCACAATGCAGCGCACCGTACGTCGTAATAGTAAGTGACGTCATCGCTTCAATCTTGAGCGAGATTTTCACATGGATTTTTTCAAACATCTCGAGCAGTATGTGTTCTAGATAAAAACCGTAAATACAAAAATTATAGCTCTCGATGCGGCCTATAACACCGTTCAAACCAGTTGGCCATGTTTTTCAAGAATTTTTATTTACGGCTAAGTATGTACTTTGGAAATGGACGGTTTTCAGAGTCTTTAAGATTTTTGCCTATAATGAAAAAGCTATGCATATAATCGAAAAAATGGCTGAAATAAAAGTTATAGTCCCGGATCTTCTGCGTTTTTTGGTTCAAGAATTTTGTCGATCGGGTAAAGCGTTTTCGAGAAATGAATTTTTTTATGCAGCCCAAAATGACGCCAAAAAATTTTTCGAAAATTTTTAAAAAATATTTTACGATGTCCGATTGCGCCTAGCTTCAAGTATTTGGGTGCGGGGGGGGACTTTTACCACCCTGCCAAATTTGAAGTCGATAGCTGCAAATTTGGGGCACCTGTTGCATTTTTCAATAAAACGCGATATATCCCGAACACCCTGTACAATACGCGAAAACCTTAAATACAAGGATTTTAGCCGTCTCTACGGCGTACACTGTCATGTAGAAAAAAAGTCTGACTGAGTAACAGTGTTTAACTTACAGTCAATTATCTTCGCGAGGGTAACTCGAGGATCAGTTTTTTGGAAATACCGGCACACCCTGTATATTTGGGAAAAATTATCAAGAATAAGAATTTATGGGTATCAACATTCTGCATCTTCCCGTTTGCAAATTTTTTCGATCCGCGAGACCGTTTTCGAGATATAGTCATTTTTAATTTTTCAAAAAAAACGTGGTTTTTGAATTTTTAAAAATACTTCCCAATCACCGATCCCTCTCAATTTTAATAGGTTCGGTTAGGGGCTCGGTCTCTACCATCGTGGAAAATTTCAAGTCGATAGATTCAAATTTCGGACAGTTATCGTGTTTCATAGCGAAGCCGAAAAATCGAAACAAAAGTGACAAAAAATCGGGGTTGCCGTGGTTGGATCGGGCTCATATTTCGTTTTCAGAATACTGTTTTTTGAGGATAAAAGGGTCAAAATTTCAGCCCTCTAGCTCAAACGGTTGCCGAGTTATAGCGGTTTTAGCGGATACAGAGAACGGAGAACGGAGAAACAGACAAAAAAAATTATTTTTTTCAACCCTGATTCGATCTGTACCAACGGCGGTCCCCTAGGACCAACCGTTTCCGAGATCTGAAAAAGGTTGACTGGCGCGTATACTTTCGCAAAAAATGAATTTCATTCATTTTGCGAAAGTAACAAGATTGCTTTCGCAATCTCGTCGCTGCGCGAGGCGACTGCTCCGCGCTACGCAGTCAACAAAGCCGCTCCGCGGCTTTGTATTTCACAGAAGCCGCGGCTTCGCGGCTTCTTGTCCTAGGAGAAAGCATTGTTTTTCTGTCGTGCTCCTGCGGACCACTACGGAACTTTCGCAAAATGTAATTTTATTATGTTTGCACCCTGTTCATGTCTAGCTGAGTTCAAATATCATGGCAAACTTCGTTAAATATAAAACTTTTTACGAGTAATTGCGATTTGTTGCACTTCGTTGGATCGAAACGTAGGACACAATATTAAATAATTGCTTTGTTTTCAGCATTCCATAAAACTCATACAAACCACATTCAAAATCCAATTATTACGAAATAATGCTCTGGAGATGGCTTCCTGCTAAAACGAAACGTCGGACGCAATTCTAAATCATTGCATCGTCTTTAGCGCACCTCAAAACCCCCGGAACCACCTTTAAGTGCCAATTATTAAGAATTAGTGCTCTGAGGATGGCTTCCTGCTAAAAGGAAACGTCGGACACAATTTTAAATTATTGCATTGTCTTCAGCGCAACCTCAAAACCCCCGGAATTTTTATTATTGACGATGTTATTCCAACCAAAATCTATAATGAAATGAGCCTCCAACGACATGCATAGACCAATATGATTAAAGCTTAAGAAAATTGCATGTATAACTGCCGAACCAATCAAAATAAAGGATTCAAATAAATCTCCCAGCCTACTACTGAATTAGAAACATTATTCTCAGAATATTTACATTTCTAATTTTTTTTTAATACTTACATTGCTCAGAGAGGGTTGAAATTTTTCTTCAAGATGAAGGTTTATTCGTAAATACTACAAAATCTCCCCCCCCCCATGTCTAATTAATATTTGCGATTTATTGTTTTCATGTTTGTCATAATTTTCCTTAAAAATTTTGATTTTTAATTTTTTAAAACACTTACGTTGCTCCAAGAAGCTTGAAGTTTTTATCGAAGATGGAGGTCACAAACACCATAAAATTCCCTCCAGCCCCCTCCATTTAAATATTATTAATAATTTTTACAAATTTGCAGTTTCACACATAAACCGCTCCCGACGGCAAACGGTATAACTTGTGGGAATCTTTTTGGTATCATTGGATTAAGTAGGGCCAAAGTATTTAACACAAAAATTTTGATTTTTTAAAATTATAATTAAATAAAATATAAAACGTGAAAAAGTGGTCATTGATTTTTAAGCCGATTTTTCCATCTAAAATGAGATTTCAAGGTTATTTCTCAGCTCATATTGATCCGAGAAAGTTAAAATTTTTATGAAAGATACGCATCGATGAGGTCCATCCGCGGATACTATAATGTCGCTCCCCCCTCCCACATTTTTGGTTAATATTTTCAATTTATCATTTTCATATTTATCATGTTTTTCTTCAAAAATTTTAGATTCTTAATTTTTTAAAATATATACCTTTCTCCGAGAAGATTGAAATTTTTATTGAAGTTAGAGGTCAATGAGGTCTATTCGCAAATACCATAAAGTCTGCCTCCAGCCCCCCTATCATTAGTTAATATTCTCAATTTATAATTTTCATGGATATCATGATATTAGTCAAAAATTCCAATTTTCATTTTTTTAAAATACTTAGTTTTCTTTGAAAAGATTGATTTTTTTTTAAGATGGAGGTCAATGAGCTCTATCCATAGAAATTATAAAGTCCTTGCCAGCTCCCACCATTTAATTATAAAAAATAATTAATACAATTAAAAAAAAATGAAGTCTCCTACAAAAACCATTCCCGACAAAAAATTGTACCACCTGACTAAGATCTTTTGGTATCATTAAATGGGGAAAATGCTAAAGTATATAACGTATAAATTTCAAATTCTTAAAACTATAATTAACGGAAATATAAAATATTTTATCAAAAAAAAAACGTTTTTTTGTTAATATTTTGACCCCCCTAAGGCCTAAGGAGCTTATAATTAAACAACTGACTTTTCATTTTAATACCCCCCCGACCCTCTATCTTCGCGCCAAATTTCATCCGTATTGGTTAACATCGACCTCGATCCAAAATTTTCATGTGACTTGGTCGTGATTTTTCCCAAAAATTTAAATTTTTTATTTTTTAAAATACCTACGTTGCCACTAGAAGCTTGAAATTTTTACTGTAGATGGAGGTCAATGAGGCCTATCCGAAGATACTATAAAGTCCCCCCCAGCCCCCACCATTTAATTGTAATTAAGCATTATTTTAAAATTAGCAGCATCCCAGAAAAACTGTTCCCGACGGCAAACGGTACAACTTGTGTGAAACTTTTTGGTGTTGATGGATAGAGGAAGGACGTAGGTATATAACATATAGATTTCAATTTCTCACAGTTTAAACTAACCGAGATATAAATCATAAATTACGAACATCGATTTTTGAGCTGGTATTTCAGCCCAAAATGTGATTTCGAGGTAATGTCCCAAAAGCTTGCAAAATTTTGGCTAAAGGGGTTTCTGAGAATCAGAAATCCGAATCGGCAACTACTTTTTGAAAATGTTGACATTTCATGACGATTTATGATTATATTGATTATGTTTTTCCAAATACCTCGCGCACCCTATATAGTAGACGAAAGCTCTAAATCCGAAAATTGTAGCTCTCGATACAGTTCGTAACACGTTTCAAACCAAATTTTCCTATCTTTTACAGTTTTTCATTTTTAGCTAATATTTTATACACGAAAACGGCAATTTTCACGGTACTTTAGATGTTTTGCCCATAATCGAGACACGCTGTACATATTCAATAGAGCAAATGGTTTTCGAGAAAATAATA